GTCCTGTCAGGTGCCCCCCCCACCCCCCCCTAAAATACACACAGATTCCTTTTTAAAAAAAAAAAAAAAACAGGAGTCAGTTTACACAGAAGCTGCAGCAACAGCGTCATACCTGACCCCCCCACACACAACCACACATTCTCTCTCTCTCTCTCTCTCTCTCTCCCTCCCTCTCTTCCTCCCTCTGTCAGTGAACTCATATCTGTGCCCCAGTTCAGTTAGAGCAGCAGCAGCAGCAGCAGCAGCAGCTCAGTCTGTCACAGGCTCACACACTCAGACCCAGTGTGTTGAGGGATTTGATTGTAGTGTGTTACCATAAGAAGAAGAAGAAGCAGTGGATTGTGTCAACTCCAAAGTAAGTGTTGTTGTTGTTGTTGTTGTTGTTGTTGTTGTGCTGGGATCTTTGTTTCGTTGTGTCCGTGCAGCCCAGGCTCCTTCCTTCTGATCAGATCGACCAATGTTTTGTTTTGATTTTTTTTTTTAGCTTTCACTTCTTCAGCTCGCCTCGCGGCCGAGTGATAAGGCAACGCCATGAATTGATTACCTATTAACAGGGCACGGTGTTGTGACATGGGGTCGGAGCCACGCTCGGAGGTTGTTACTGGGCTAAATGTAACACAACTTCAGTAACGCAGTCAAAATGAATGATCATTTCATTTATAGTAAGAGAGATTTGAATGATTCTTTTTGTTTTATAGTATAGTATAGTCTTGGTCATTGGTCGGGATCTGTATAAAGTCTCTATGTTAGACTTCATATGTTGGCAAATAGTGAAAAACTGTAAAAACCCAGGTGTTCTAATAGGAGACTGCATTTGACAGGAAACTGATTTTGTCTATTTTTCTGTCTTAAGTCCATAAAGAACCCTTAAGTAAAAAAAATAAAAATAAATATACAACCTAAGTTTGCAGTAGATGTTGATCTTATTGTCCCCCATCAAGTTAAAATGAAATTATTTGTTCGGATTTATACAAACTGACCACAGGAGGCAGTAGACCATGTGCGCTGTAATTGGTCGTTTTCTCTAAGGACCTTGACGCAGGAGTTAAAGCTGTTCCTGAGAGCAGCAGTGCCACAACAATATAGTCCTTGGTTAATGGCTCAACACCCCACCCCACCCCCCCACCTTCCTAACAAAGTTCAGAGAGAAATCATTTATATTAGCTCTCAGAGACATGGGTTCTGTTGGTTTACCGCTGCCCCCTGTGGTCAGTTTGTGTCACATCTGAAGTTATTGACCCAGTAGTACTGACAAGAAATCACTGATTTTCTCTACTAGTTCTTTTTCAGTCTAAAATTCTGTAATAATGTAAATGCATTAAAAAAAAAAATTATACCGTAACACATTTTTTTTTTTTTGTTTTCGTAGAACTTCGCTCGGCTTTAAATGTTTACATCTGGATGAAATCAGTGCACTGGTACAAACCCAGACCGTGGCTTCTAAACATCTAATCAGAGAAGAGATGTTACATAATCCCGGGTTAATTTAAGTTTTCTGTTTTCATTTGTGACTAATGTGTCCCTGTTGTGGAGCGGTGTTACCTGAGACCCTCAGCAAAAAGAACAAAAAGTCGACA